AAAGAACTGGATACAATGTCGTTTTACTAATTTTGCCAGGCTGAATAGAGAATTGTTAAAAAATAGACCCTGATAAACAAAACTCTCTTTAAAAATTATTATTATTTTTTATTACCAACTGTAATCAGTGATTCATCTTCTATTTACACAATGTTTAAAGCAGATGCTATATTTTGGAGCCTCTTAGTGAAAACAATTGTGTACATGCAAGCTAATGTAGTCTATTTTAAATGATTTATGAACAGTGATTATCTAAAACATACTATTAATTATCGCAACAATTAATTTGTGTGGCTTTCTAAAGATAAGTAAGGCCTTTCACTTCACTGATATATGTGAACGTGAGGGACAAGCACGTTTTGAGGAAACGAGAGTGTCTCAGTAGCTGAGTGGTTGATGTGAGACCTCTCTGGTCTGACTTCTGGAGACACAAACCATCAGTGACTGCTGGGAGTGAACAGGAGCTGTGAGTCTCAGTACCACGGTGTGCTTTCAGCTAGTCACACAGAAATTAAATATGAACCCAAGTGATCTGCCCGTTAAATGTGAAAGCCAAGACAGAGCTAAGAGGAGAACAAAGGTCTCCTGACTGCCTGGACTGTATGTAGCATTAATCATAAAAGGATATTTTCTCTGTGTATCTCTGATCATGCTTTTCAGCTGTTAATCTCACTGCTTAGCTAAGACTGTCATACCTCTTTCTGCTAGGTCCTGTGCTGCTTATACTCATGATAGACAAAAAAATAAATAAACCCTAGGAATCAGATCACCCAAGTTCATTAGAGCTCTTGGATCTGCAGAGGTGAAAGTCTTATGTAGTATGCTGGTGTGTTACTCAGCTTCCCCAGACTGGTTAATTTTAAAGTGATCATTTAGCACTAACCTGGAAACACACGACAGCCTTCAAAATCAAAACAATCTGTCTAGGCAGGTGGGAAATGAAACCAGTCCTAATGGCTGGAATGGTTTTCTGTGAAGGCCCCAGGCCTCATTTTGTCTCTGATAGCAATATAATCTTTTATAGCGTCTGTGAAGTTTCCTAATAAATAAGCGTTCCTTGTTCCTGGTGGTTGAAGATGCTGTACAGGTGCATCATGAAAGTGCATTGACAGACTGTCGGTTTTCAATTCAAGCCCTCTTGTCAAGATCATTTTACAAGATATTTCAAAGGAGTATACAAGAAATAAAAAAGCAATGTAGCTGCAGCAGGGATTTAGTAATAGATTCCCTTGCTGTCTGGGAGCTGTTAGGGATATAAGTTGCATCAGTTTTCCCAAATTCTTTCAACTTTGTAATTAGCAGTGCTTGCAAGTGTGCCCTTAGTTTGGCAAGTGGGGAGGGAATGAAGGAAGGTAAGAAATATGAAAGACAGAGAAAGAGCAGCTGCTCCAGAATATTTTCTGTAGCTCCAGTCATTCCTCACTTATTCTCTGTCTTGGTTGTTTTTCCAGAACTGGAAATGGGATGAAGATAAGGAAGAGAGGAGGGAGATGGATTCCTCACCTGCTACAAATGCAGATAAATTCCCTTTTTCCCCAGTTCAGTGTTTTTACAAGTTCCCATTTCCATTTTACTTCTCTGTGGGGAAGAGAAACAGTACACTTCCCTGCAGCTGATATCTAACGTGACAGAGGGAGAAGCAAAACAGGCGGGCAACGGAGGGAGTTAAAGTACCCATTTGATTATTGAGAAGTTAAACTGCACTATCAGGTAGGAAATTTTTCCTGCATGCAGGGTTGGCTCTTGGTGCCTCAAACCCTGCCATGGTGCAAGTCCCACCTGGATCACCAACACTCAAAGTTATCCTCACAAAATCCCTGTGAATTGCTTTTCTTCCTTGGTTTATAGATGGACACATTGGTATGTACTGAACTATTGCTCTTCCTTTTTCAGTGATGGGTGTGGTGTGGCAAGGTGTATTATTCTGTAATACAAGCAGTATGTCAGATTCTCTCTCTCTAGGGTTTATTTCATGGCCTTGTCACACAGCCATGAATAACGTATCCCTGCCCTTACATACTGTCCACACTTAGATCACTCAGAAATCCTGAGCTGGTTTTGTATTAGGAACTTCTATAAATATATAATCCCATGGGGCAGCAGAACTGTAGCTGATTGCAAGCATGAGTAACCCCTTAAAATCATCTTAATGGAAAGTTGTTATGAATAATCCTGTGAAATGAAGGAAAAAATGGAATTTATCTTAAAATATTTAGAGCAGATGCATCACTTGAGTAAGAAACCAATGTGCCTGAATTAGAAATGTCATAACTTCAAAGAAACTGAGTCAGTTCAGAATGAAGTGACATAGCTTTCAAAGCAAGGCAAGCAACAGCACTTTCACAAAAGCAACCGGGAATACAAATTGTGTACACCTAAAAATAAATAGTGTGAAGTATAAACATGTGAAATGAAGAAATGAGAAGAATATCCACCCCCTGCAAAAAAAGAAATTAAATTTAATCTCTTAGCTTTGCAACACAAACCCTGTTTTCTCCAGAAATGATGTAGGGGGGCATTGCAGGAAGGACACACTTTTTCCTGCTAGATTGGCCTTGGAAGATCCTTTGTCTTAGTTAATGTAGTAGAACTGAGTGAGCCCGTATTATTTTCACATGCAGTTCAAGCTCACCTTTTATTGATGGCAGCCTCTTTTATCTTTTTACTGGACATATACATTGCTAATCATACTGCAAATCAGCTTAGACACTGCACCAAGAATTATCTACCTAAAAAATAGGCATTCTATTCATTTTAGTAACTGGAAACAAATGGTCTTTTGCTCATGGTACTATGGGCAGATGATAGCTGAATGATCATGTATATTGAGCGTTTCTGTTTGCTTGTGTTGCAGTGTGACAAAGGAGGCAGAGCATGGGCTTGTCCTAGCATGAAAGGGACTGCAAGAGATAACACTGCTTTTAGGCAGAGGACTCTCTATTTCACCTGTGTCAGTCCTGCCAGGCATTAGTCAACCCTGCTCTTAAAAACAAACTCCACATTCCCCTCCTCAGAGTCTGCTCCCGAGCTTGGCTGTCACTGCCATTGGAAATGTGTACCTAACGTTGAACTGCCCGGGTCTCATCGTGTCCGCCCTGAGCAAGCAGAGTGGTCCATCCTCCTCGCTGCACCAGCTTTTGGTGTAGGACAGTTATCATATGTGTGTGTGTGTGTGTTTCCCCTTTTTCTTTTGAACGTTAAACAACCCAAACTCGTTCAGTCTGTAATTAATGACAGTCGCTGCCCCAAGCAGCTTGGTAGTGGGCCCGATCAGCCTGATGTCATTACTTCACCATGACAATTTTCTAAGTAACTCCATGTGATATTCCATCTGTCTGACACTATTAAAAACTTTTTATATAGCCCTTATTATTGTAGTTGCTGAGCTCCCCGCAAACATCACAGTGAGGAAGGGAAGTGCTGTTATCCCCACCGAGGCACAGACAGACCATGACCTGCCAAGATCACACAGGGAGTCTTATCAGAGAATTAAACAGAGGTCTCTCAAGTCCTTGGCCAGCTCTAGCTGTATGGTATGTTAATATGGAGAATCAGGATGTTCCTGAACTGGCAAGCTGATAGGGAAAGTATGAAATTGGATGTGAGAATTTTATTATTTTTTAATAAAATCACACTTTATTTTTAATAAAGGTAAGATTATCAGCATGATACCCCCAAAAAAAGTATTTAAGCACCACATTTCTTTTCGGTTCCTGTCTGAAGTAATTTAATAACAGCACAATTACACCATGTTGTTAGTCAGACATAACCGAGAAGCCATTTATTCCTCATGCACCAAGAAGTTTGCAGTTAAATTCTGTTTGATAAGTGTTAAATTAAAGCACTAGTATATGGCTGAGGAACCTAATGTTAGCTAAGTCGCCCTGAGTATTGTTTCCCAGAGCTTGCTGCTGTGTGATTTGCTTTCTGCTTTATATTGAATAAGGTGTGTGTTAACGGGTGGCCCACCAAAGCCATCTCAAAGTGCTACCTGCTCTTCAACAAAGAGCAGCTTTCTTGTTTCAACCCTCAAGCAATACAGTCTGTCTGGAGCACATACAATTTTAGCACTGCACATATACACTAATTCAGAATGAACTTTTTGCATCTGTGCTGTAGGTAGATGTATAGAAATACCCTTTTGGGCACTTTTAGAGTGTATCCATTCTGATCATGAAAATACTAAGAAAACATTAATTCTGCTAAATCTGATTTTGCTCTTTACAAACGCAGTGCAGCAAGAAGGGGAGAGGAGAACCACCTTAGTTTTTGCTTGAGACTATTTCACTTAGTCCCAGATTAACTCTTGGTTTTTTAATCTGACTGAATATGTTCCCGTAATGTGCACAGATTATATTGTAAAATATCTTCAAAGGTCAATTTTGAATCTTCTAAGCAAATAAACACAAAATAAAAGAAAAGGCATTGGAACTGTTATCTATCTGAGAGCTTAACAAAAGGTATGCTAGCCTAATGTGAGCCAGGGGAGCTGGAGGGAGATTGCGTTTAGCCAGAAATGCTGGCAAAAATATGCTTCAGTAGAGCCAGAACCACATGTGGCCATTCCACTTTAATTGTGCTTGTTTTAAAAGATAGGTCTTTAACATTTACCCTCTCCATGCTTGCTGTCTCTTTATGAACTGAAAATAAAAGCTCCCCAGGCAGCCATACTAAGACCTCAAGCCTAAAATTTTTCAGCTGAGTCACAAGCAAAACCTGTGCTGAATTGGCCCCATGCATTTTTTTTGTAGCCATAAGAAGATTGGACTTCTCTGCTGTTTTTTTCCCCCAAGTCCTCAGGCCAGTCCTAACCCAGGGAGTGAGTGTTTTGGTACTAAATGTATCTCCTTGGTGAGGTCAAAGGCAGTGGCAACAGTGCTACTGGTTCGAAGGCAGCCTGCTGTAATGTACTACAAAACCCAAAAGTACGCTCAACAATAACAAAAGCATTAACCGCTGACCCACAACTCGGTGAAATTCAATCCCACCATTAGGCAAACATGAAAATGAGATCCCAGAGGAAGGAAGGTTCAGATGTTCAAGACCAGAGAAATTGGGTGAGGAACACAGACAACGAGATGGAAGTTGTTTCAGACTGAGGAGAGAGAGGGGGAGGTTGCCAGTTCAGCGGTAGGATCTTTTAATACCATGAATTTCAACATGGACTTAGCAGTCAGTGGTTTTGCTCCACTTTGGAACAAACTAAAACAATTTATAATAAAGATATCTTTCACATGTTTAGTGTGATATAATTTGATTTACCAGAGGTTAATTCAGAACTTCATGTTTCCAGATTTGTTTTAAGGTCGATGCTTGTGTCAATGTGTAGGTGCTCAACGCGGGGCTGGAACGTAACAGGAACCTGAAAGAACTAAGCACCCAAGTCTTACTCAGGTTTTTTTTTGTGTGTGTCAGATGGTTACAAATTTGGAGCACTGGAACCAAGTGTATTTAAGCAAGAGTCAGATGCCAAACTCATGAGCACCCTAGAACATCCTGTGTGTTCCAGTAAGGAGACATGAATCCGTGTGCTCTAAGGATTTCTGTATGCACTCTGCAGCCATCCTTGGCAGGAAGCTGCAGGTGGGGGCACTGGCAGGATGGCACACTTTCTCAGGTGTTATAGCACGTTGCTTTTTTCCCCAGAACACACTCACTGCAGATGACCGTTCTCCTGAAGACAGCTTCACCCTGAACCCCGAGGACAGAAGAGAATACCCTGACCTCCAGGCTGCCCACCGGCCATTCCCTAAGCAGCGATTCAGGCAGGAAAATGGGCATACGTCCTTGCAAAGAGATGGACCTAGATCTTTCCTCCTGGATCTCCCAAACTTCCCTGACCTGTCAAAAGCAGATATCAATGGGCAGAATCCCAACATTCAGGTACAAATTTCTGTTAACGTGTGATTTTTTTTTATGAGCTGTGCAAAATTATTTTACTGAACCAAGATAACTTTCAGCCTGGCTTCCATGACACGCAGTCAGAACATCCTGTCACTCTACCAATAGCACCAAGAGAGAATGTATATAATAGAATATAATATAGAAATAAAGTATATGTAATACATAATATGCACTTTGTCTTAAGTGAATGCACAGGTTTCAATTTTTTTCTGAATTTCTCTTTGGATAGTGTTGATTGTATATGTGTGGGTATCAATATAGACCTGTTTATGAGACTAAAGCCATCTTTGCTAGTGCCATTTTGGAACATATTCTTTTTGTTGATATTAAATGAGTATTTTAAATTCTGTTTTCAATTCTCTGTTACAACATTTGTGAACAGATTCTCTTTTAGTATGCTATTATAAAGTGCAACCATCCCCAAAGGTTATAAGAGAACAAGTCTTTAATTTTCAGCTCAAAATGTGGTCCTCTGTATGGAACCAGGACTTAAAGTTCTTAAATTTCTGCAGCAGCAGAGTAAAAAAAAAAATGTCTGCAAGAAGCTTTGTTATATGTTATTCCTTAAACTGTTCTTGGGTTTGGAATGGCCTCTTACAAGCCACTTGCATCTTAAAACTTCAAGGATTAGACAGAGGAAAAAATGAGCGATTTGGTTTTAATTCAGAGCCTTAAAGCAAAATTGTCCTTAATAAGCAGTCTTTTTAAACCAAAACAATAAATTGAAATGTTGTTCTGCCTAAGATGTGCTTATAAAAACAATACACTAATAGAACTGGTTTTCTGGTTAAATTAATTCCTGGCTTCTTACAGTCCCCCAGCCCACAAAATTACCATCCTTTTGATATGTCTCAGAAGCATGTACGTAAAGATATGATAGATACATTGGTGAGAGACCAACATGATCAGGCGAGAACGAGCTCTCTCCAAGCTGACACTCATAGATGACATCATAGATGGCTTGCAGCGTTAAGAAGCTTAACAGATCTGGATCAAGTGCGGTCCAATACTTGACAGGCCAAGGTAGTAAACATATTCAACATGTGGTACTGTATGCATCCCTCGCGCCTTCCAGAAAGCCTTCGGAAGGGAAGGTAGGGAAGCTATAGGGGCCTCAGATTGTGGCATGAGGTAAATAGTGTAACATCATTGTTGGAACAGTATGTAAACCACAGAGGAGGACAGGAGGAAACAAAAACCTCTGAATGGTAATGTTTAATGTTTAGACCTGGGGAACAGATAAATGAGACACAAACATTTCCCTGGCTTGTCTTTATAGTAACTGCTTCTGCCATGATCTCTTTTTCCACCACCTGATCTTGGAAATGTGTCAGCCAACTATGTCAGAAGTTTTGCTGGACTCTGAGAACTGGGAAACCTAGTCCTGTAAACTGGAAAACACTGGTCAACATTAATGCCAGAGCTCTTGGGCACAAGGATCAGCTTTTTTTGGAAACAGGCTCCCTAAGTTCTGCACTGTATTTACTCTGCTTATTTAGGTGCATAAATAGAGACACTTGTGGACTTGCAAATTGCTCATCAGCTGTTTGGCAGGTGAGAGCAGAATCAATACTGATTTTTTCTTTTTGCACAATGGCTTCAGGCTCTGTAAGTTACAGTCCTGGTGTTAATTTAAAAGTCCTCCTAGGAGAGTGAGGAAGGAAAGGAAAGGAAAGGAAAGGAAAGGAAAGGAAAGGAAAGGAAAGGAAAGGAAAGGAAAGGAAAGGAAAGGAAAGGAAAGGAAAGGAAAGGAAAGGAAAGGAAAGGAAAGCCTGTGTGTGTTAATCTAGCACAATGGCCACATTTGCTTCCAAAAGACCCACAACTTCCTTTCCCTTCTGCTAGTACAAACCTGCCTAGACCAAAAAATAACATTTTTAAGGGAAATTATACCTGGAAATTTAAAAAACCTAATAAACAGACATAAAACTCAGTCTGAAAAAGCAGGTCAAAAAGATATTCCAGTGAGTTCTCTTCATGGCTGTTCCTTCTCTGGTGTCCTGTGAGAGAGCAATTGCTGTCTCATGGCCTGGTTGTGTGCTCTTTCAGGGAGGAAGTGGTGGATATCAGAACACCATCACTGGAATTCAGAAAATTAACATGTCCCCAGGTACTACTGTATTTATCCAGTCATAAACAAATAGAAATACAGTGGACTGTCTTCTAGAAAAAGTCCAAAACAGGAGTCAAAGCTGCAGTAATCCAAGTGCAATTTGACTCTGCATGCGAGACCAGGACAACACTAACTGGTCTTTCTGTGCCATTCAAGCCTGTAAAATCTCCCATTTTTTCAAGTGGCATTTTATGCTTTAGCATTGCTTCCACACTGGTTGGTTGAGAGTAACTGCAGTAGCTGCTGTTGAGCAAAGGCTGGCTGTTTGGTTTAGAGTATTTTGTTTTCTTCTTTGTTGTCATTTTAACAATTCTGTCAGTGCCTGGAAGACTTCTGGATGAGCAGGTTGATTATAAGAACTGATCATAGATCAGATTTCCTTTCACGAGTGGAAAATCTATTTCGTGTAGGTTTGCACTTGTTTGACGAACTAGCCGAGGGATGCCTGTGCAGACCTTGTAATTGGGCAGGGTTATTACTCACAGTAAGACAGAATTGTTCTTACTCCTGAGTAACAGAATGAAGTTAAGTGCGAGGTGTATAGGAACCTGCTTATTTTCCATTTCTGATGGATTTTTCTTGTCTATTCCAACCATCCTTCTTCAACCTCTCAGCTCTTCTCTGTGGCAGATCCTCTGTTGGGAGCCAGATGCTTCAACTTGCAGTTGAACTCTTATTCTTGTCCCTCCCCTTTTCCTTTTACTCCTGTTTTCTCAGGCTTGTGTGAGTAGTGCGCTGCTCTCTGCTGTCTCACTGCTTTGCTGCTTTCCTAGCAGTGCTCGACACCATGACAAATAAGCAGAAAAGGGAAAACTCCTTACTGTTTGTCAGGCAAGGGCATTTTGTTGATATTGATAATCTTTAGAGAACTTGAATCTTGATCAGGCTTCACAACCAGTAAACCTGAAACACAGCTGCGTGAGTTCCAGTTGCGATGGATGTGTTAAACATTTTGGATGAGGTGACAAGTTCCAAGTATAGACTGTCCAGAGTTAGTTAGGATTCCTGTCCTAAAAACATGTTGATGCGCCCTGCAAAGCTGAAGTAAATCAGTGTATGATTAAATCTGTTGTGATTATTATCCTTGCTTTGAGTCATGGGATTGGTAATAATTGACAGGAGTGATTTTAAGCCTGAAGAAGTTAATGCTGCCAGCTTGGTGATGTGTTGTGTTTATCATTTTGCATGAGGCCTGTGGGCCATATCCACCAGTCATGCCACTCCAGTTCTGCTGTTAGCTTTATTTATTATTCTCTTTGATATCTATGCAATTTCTACCTTCTCTTAAAAAAACATGAACCACCCACACTAGGAACACACACAACTAGAGAGAAACCAGGCTGTATGATCTGCTTTTAAAAAAGAACTGCAGACTTCAACTCTTCTCCGGGTTCATCTGTTGCCATCTCCCTCACCTCCATCTATATCACTGTCACTTTTAACACATTTTATTAGATGTATTTATTAGGTAACCTTTATATTTGTCATTTAAAGCGGCTGGTTTCGCTGCCTTGGAAAGCAACACCCTCTCTGTATCATCACAGACACTCAGCAGTGTCTGTAACACTGAGCTCTGACCAGTACATCTCATCCCTAATCTAGCACAGTAAGAACTGGAGGGCTCCAGTAGCGCTTATTTCTTGTAATGCCTTTAAAACTTAATAGTTTAAGGTAGTAGCAAAGCAATTGTCCCCATCATTAAATTAAGACCCAGAAAAGCAGGGAGCACGTGCTCATTTTCTTGGTCCTTGGGCTGGGTCTGTACTGTGGAGAACTCCCTGGTCCCCGGACCATCTCCCTAGTCAGTATGCCTACTTGGCTGAGCTACCCACAGCACTGGAAGCATGGCATACATGCCAGGAACTTTTAGCAAGCTGCAGAGACTGGTCTAGGCATTTCTGTTGTGCTGTTATAGTTACCTCTTTGCTGACTTGCACATACCCACCTTTATGGAATGGCAAGTTCTGCCTTGCAAGTTTGCATCAGTTGCATGAAGGAAGCAGAGGATAGAAATGTAGAATCTACTGCTTGCACAAGATTGCAAGTGTAGTTCTTCTTGAAACATAATCTTTTAGTTGCTTAGGGCAATATTTACACCATTAAAGTGAATTCAGAAACATTGTCTCAGTAAACAGTACACAGAACTTTTTGTGCACTCCAACAGGCAAGGATAATATTTATCTTCTGTATATTTTTGGCTAGGAGAAAATCAGATGTTAGTGTCTCAAGACATCTGGGCTTGATACAGTTGTTTCATTAGAAATTGACTGCAAATCTGTTGTTTTAATGTACCTGTGCCAATTGTTTTTCACAATTTTTAGAGAAACTTCCTTATTTATAGCTCACACAACTATAAAAGAAGTGGCTTCATTTTAGGTCTGAATACTTCTAGAGATGATTGTGAATTTATTTAAAAACGATGTTACTGCAGGCATTTTGGGAAGCTTGAGAAAAAAATAAATAATATTTCCAGTTTTGATAATCACTGGAAGAAGAAATCAGAGAAAATGAAGTCTTTAAAACAGTCTCCAAGACAGAAATACTAAACCAGGTCTATTTTTTTTAAATTTTTGAGAGAAAGTGTTTTTGTTGTAGTTATACAGCATTAAAGCTTTTCTAGAGCTGCTTTAGATGCCCATTTTTAATTACTCTAGTTCTAGATCTGATTTCTTTTTTCCTTTTTATAAACATCCCCTAGGATAGAAACCTATCAAACAAGATGCATGTTTGTGTATCATGTATACGTGTCATGTATATGTATAGTCACAAGCTAATGTTCTGAAGTTTATCTCTAAGTACTTGGAAGAATTCAGTGAATGCTAATTTTTAAAATTTTAGACTGGGATAGGGAACCAATTGCTCACCCAAAGCAGTAGCCTCTTCTCACACCTCTGCCCTAACCTTTGGGTCATACCATGGAGGGATTACCTAGTATTACTCACTGATTTGCTCCCTGCCTCTGGAAGGTCCCTTAGAGTGAAATGGGGCTGGGCAGAGCACAGCTGAGTCCCTGCGAACAAACAAAATGAGAGTTGGCTGAAGATGTCTTTTTTAACTTCCAAGAGTGACAGATTCAGACAGTCCTGAGATTCCTTTTAGAATTTCTTTCACTGTGTGATTTTTATGCCACATGTTAAACAAACAACTTGGTAATCAAAGCTTAAAACAGTGGAGAGAGGAATATAGGTGTGTGTCAGACTACCACATTGGATTTTGTTTTCGTTATGTTCATTTTTTAAATAGGCTGTGTGTTGGAAAACTCATTTTAAAGGCCTTTGTAATAAGTCTCCTTGGTATTAAAAACAGACTCAAGAGGGATATATGACAGCACAGACATGACTTGAAAGTAAGTTAGTGGCAGTGCTGAGGACTGCTGAGGTCTCATGACCCTGAAGTTTGGGCATTGCACCTGCCTCACCTCCCCAGTGTAGCACATAGCTCCACAGAAGTTCCCCTATCCCTGCAAACCCTCTTTTGCTTAAATTGGCTTGGCATCCTGCATAACTATTTTAAATCAGATCCCTATTGTTCTTCAACTGTACCTGGCTGAAATAATGTGAGTTCATGCTGATTCACTATCAATCTTACAACTACAGATTACCAAAGCACATGGCATGATTATCAAGTGCCCCCTGCCTTTGTTTATGAGAGAGTTTGGTTTGGTTTGGTTTGTTTTTTCACTTTGCTGAGTCATTGCTTACAGAGTTAATATGGTCTTAAAAATACTTGTTACTAAGTACACGAGTCATACTATTTTTCACATGGGCAGTACTAAAGCCCTGCAACTGGCCAGCAGTGCACAGCGTTAGCTGCTCAGTAACAGTATTTCCTTTCACTTACTGTGAAAACTCTGTTTTGCTTGGATAGATGGAACAATTTTGAATCCCTGAACAAACCCTGATGTTTTCAAACTTATGAAATTCATTTTAATTCTTGGTCTCTAGAAACTGAGGTTTAATGAAGTAATCATTCTAATTCCATATTTAGTCTGGGAGTAAAATGTCTCTTGTGTAAAGATGCTATTAGGCTGACAACTGCACTTTCCCTCACTCTTGCTCTTTCTCCCAGTGGAGCTTCTTAGTAGCCTCAAAGTTGTTTCATTTCAATGGCTTCGTCTATGGTCAAATGCAAAGCATGAAACAGATGCAAAATCACCTTTCTCCAAAAAATGATGCATGGGCATTGCCTTGTCTGTGCAGCTGTGTCTGCAGCTATGCAGCTATGGCAGCAGTTCTGTTTTGCTTCCTTTGTCCCCCTCTATGGATCACAGGTGGCTGAAGAAACACTCTTCTCTTTCTTTTTCTTGTGTGAGTCTTGTGATTTTATTAATAACAAATGTATAGCACTAAACCTTTTATTCAAAATGCAAATCCATAGAGCTATGTGAATGACTTTTGGTACATTATTCTGTTTTTCATTGTTTTACACAACCCAATTTTCATGGAGGACTATCTTGAAAGACTGCTTTGTAAATCTACAAAACATGAAGAATATCTTCGTACCTGTAAAACATTATAGGTATATCTGATGTAGTCAGTTCTGTATCATGGTTATGTAGCCAGTTCAATGTAATCACTGAACCACATTAGCATGAAGCATTTTATGATTTATCTGTGGCCACGCTGTGCTTGCGTGACTCATAGAGCCAAGGTTTCTGATGGCTAATTCCTGTTTCTACCTAAATAGCCACCTATATGCACACATAGTATTTATCCAAGAGTTTCATAATTACAGTTTGTTCAGCACAGAAAAGGAGTAATCAAGGGTTGTTCCTATGCAGAATTATATTCATGATGTCTGTGAGGGAATTAGGTAGCAAACTTTGAATTTTGGCTCTGGGCTTCTGTAGAAACTGTGAGCGGGTTGTGTATCGTTGTATCTCCAGCACAGGAAGAGGGTCTGCTTCAGAGGGCTTAGCAGCAAGGGACTTACTCAGCAATGGCTGAAAGAGCTGCTGGCTCTCATCGCTGCAGAGTGTGGTTTCACACAGCGGTGACAGCCCACACCGTTGTGTGACGGACACACTGGTGCTGCCGGGAGGCCGTGTGAGGGGATGGGCTGAGCTGCTGCTGGAGGCCACAGCCTGTGCAAACCCAGCACAGACCCTGGGCTCTGCATCTTCCACCTTTGCTCTCGTGGACTTACTGAGCCCTGTCTTGAGTCAATCCAAGTCCTTGGCACAGGCTCTGCACGCTGGTGTGCTTCCTGCTTCCCTCAAATTCAGCCTCAGCGTAATTAGAGTAACAGATTTGGTTTTCTTTTTCCTGGTCATATATGTTTGGGTTTAAACATCTTTTCCCCATAAGGCAGAAAATTCTGCTGTGAAGGTTTTAGGCACAGCATGGGTTATTATTTTGTGCAGGATTTTTCCTAGCCTTTGTTCCAAGGTCTGATTCAGCAGAGGTAGCAGAAGGAATCACTCAGCCGCTGCATATCTCTGGGCTCAGTAATCCGCAGATGGTTTACAACATGCAAACCCTACAGTATTACACAGCTCCTTTGCAAGGCAACGCCAGTCATTTGTCTTCGCTGTATATAGCAAGTTTCCCACTGACTAGGAGGAGATACTGACAGACAGGCTGGTCTATTTTGTATCCCAAAGGTTACCATTGAAGTGGTGGATGGCCCTGACACTGAGACAGACAAGGATCTGCAGAAAGAGAGCAGCAAACCTAGCTGGCCAGTCCCATCACCCGACTGGAGAAACTGGTGGCAGAGGTCCTCCACGTTGACTCGCATGAGCAGCGGTGACCAGGACTACAAGTATGACAGCACTACTGAGGACAGCAACTTCCTAAACCCTCTCGGTGGGTGGGATAGTCATGCACCCAGTCACCGGACATTTGAGTCCAAGGAGCAGCCAGAGTATGGTAAGTTTGCGTTCCAGGCCTCTTATGGGCATCTTGGGATTGTAAAAACGAGTTTGGGGGAAATGAGAATGGTGAGGCACCGCTGAAAGTAGGCCAAGCAAAATAGAATTTTTCAACATGTGGCTTTTGTTCATCAGCTTTTAAATACAAATCTGTGCAGATGCACAAGCTGTACTGTGGTAGCTGCATTCCACGAGTAGGTCTATAGTCTTGAAAATCATACCAGTTAGCCCATAAGAGGACCTTTTTTTAGTCCTAAGTGTGCTTTTTTTAAAAGCAAAGGAAACAAGGTTTCGTATTTATTTTTAGAGTAAGGATAAGTACAAATTTAGAATCGTGTGGTGGTTTGGGAGCCAAATATAATTATTGGATAAATAAGCAAGATCTAAAATGTGGTAGTATTTGGTGGATACACAAATAAGATGGATTATGTTGGTGCATGTGTGGGGAGTGGCATATGCAGCAGGAACATTGTGTATTTGCGTGTGTAATTCCCTTCCAGATGTGTCATGGCGAAAACAATTGTTTTCAGCTTGTTGTATGAAACAGTTGCAGAAACTAGAAACAGAGAGGAGCTCCAGTTGCTCACTGCCCCAGCGGGCTGCACCTAGCCATGTGGAAATGACTCCAGGGAGGGGAACTAATACGTCCTCACAGGTAGCTCAGAGCCTCTCAGATTTAAGTTGTGTGCAATTACCAAAGATTTTAGCTAGAGCCGAGTTTCAAAGCCACTGTACTTTTACCCTGGCACTTTTGTTGCATTCCCTAGATGCCGCAGAGTGGCTGTCATGCACTGATTCTTATTTTTCCCGTTTTGGTTAACTTTTAAGTCCTAGAGCCTTAACAATCAAGAGAGACTTTTTGTGGAATAGTCTATTGAAACACATACATGTGGATTAAATTTTGTGGCCAGAAGATTAAAGTCTATCCCTTCTTTTTGCACCTGCATTTATTTGTGGGCACACAGTATTGCCAAGAATTCATATATTAGGTAGTTATTAATCTAGGTAAAATAAAATTGCTTTCACAAATAATTGTGGTAGAAAAAAAAGTAATAATTATTTACAAACATAAAAATAGAACAGGTTGATCACCAGCTGAAAATCTAATGTGGTATATTTAATAGTAGACACTGTGTGTTTCATAATGCAGTATAAACATTAGGTAAGTAGGCATAAAAATTGTCCTAGAGCTCTCTGCCATACACCAGAGCACCCTACTGATTGGAAAAGACTCCTGGCCTTCTGTCTAACCTAAAATGATGTGTGTCATTGGCCTTGGCCAGGAGGATGTAGCAGCAGATCCTGCCCATATGGGCTAGTTCCACCCACTGACCTTTTCACACATTTCATGGCTCTATCTCCCTCATCCTGCACCTGCCAAAAAGTACCGCATGACTCTGCCTGCCCTTCCTGGCCCTCCCAGGCTGGGCTCTTTGACAAGCATTGCACCTGCTTACCCTCCCTCTTCCTCACCAGCCACGTGGAGAAAAAATACAGAGTCAGAAAAGAGCTGGGAAGGAGAGCAGGGCCAGGGAGCGGGGGCAGATCACATTTTCCTAAGACGTCTTCTCCTTCTTTAGGCTGCTGTAGTGCCCACCTGTTGGCAAATCCCAGAATCACGGGTCTTTGCGCACAGACAATATAGCAAGGGCCATGTTCCCACCCACATCACACCATGGACACTTGATTCAAGAGTGGTGGCTTCCTGATCAGCAGCAGTGTAAGAAGAGGAGGAGAAGCACATAAGGCCCCTGCCACAAGGAACTCGTATCTAGGCAGCTTGCTACGAGTGAGATATATAACCTTCCCATACTCCTGGCAATAAATATTTAATAGCACCCCACAGAGTTGTCGTCAGTCATTACATATGGTACAAATCAAGTTACGTGTTCTACTAACCAGCTCAGGAAGCCCACTGACAGCAGGGCAGTGGGGGAGAGTGGGAATGGTGTGTAACAGAGGCCAGTGCAGGCAGTGATCTGTCCCTGTGTCTTGCCTGTTCAGCCTATGGCTACAGAGCAGAGCTGGCTCAGAGTCCCTAAACCCGATTTTGCTTTCCTACCAATGCTGATTTAACCCAAGTGAGCAAAGGCTGCAAGTTATGATCACAGGATTGGTTACACATCTCCTGTAGATTGCAGAGAAATCCATTAAGCCAGATGTTTCATAGTGAGGGACAACACTCAACTGGGGAGGCCAGTGGGAAGGCAAGAAAACTGGGATTGGTTCAGGGACTGCATTTGGTGGCCTTTAAAGGTGGGATGTGCAACAGTTAACTCACTCAGCAAAGAAAGGAGACAGGTTCTAAGGGGTTTAGATACTGACAGGGGCACTGAGCCACAATGGTGCAGGCTTGGTATCGATTGCCCTTGGCTGTCTACCAGAAGAGAATAAAGTCATGTTTCATTTTCAGAAGACTCCTGCTAGTAAAAAGTCAGATTTTATGTTGTTCGATAATTCACATTAAACACTACAAATTGCACATTGTTCTGGGTGCAAGATGAATATGCAGTTCCCTATATGCATGGCAGCATTCCTGTAATAGCTATTTCCTGTTCAAGGGCCTGAAGAACAGAATTACAATTTTCATGCATGACCCTCAACCTCCCATAGTCCAACATCCATTGTGTCCTAAAAATTAATGAAGTGAGTATTGTTGTGTGTTTTGGAAAGAAGAAAAAGAAAACGTCATTTACCCTGTGTCTGATTAGTCTGTGGTCAGAAAACATGTTCCTATATACAGGGAAATTATGTGAATAGATGTGTACTGTTAGTTCGTGACCCAGCTTTGCAGGTGAGGATTCTCAGCTGCCAAAAGGTCAAAAGAGAAAGGAAATATTTTTTCAAATAATGTTGCATGCATTTCCCTGAGGAGCATCAAGTGTGAAAACCATTTAAACAGCAGGCTTATGCCTGGCATTTAGCCCAAGCTTCAGGTAGAGACATCTGGATTCCATTCTTGTTTTGCCTTCTTAATAAAAACCACTACACAGTAGTTTTGGGTAGTAGGAGTTGTGTTTTTTCATTTCCTTCGTCATCTTTGTTCTTACACAGATTATATTGATGGTGAGGGAGACTGGAGCCCATGGTCCCTTTGTAGTGTCACCTGTGGGAGCGGCAATCAGAAGCGGACGAGGTCCTGCGGGTACGCCTGCACTGCCACCGAGTCACGGACCTGCGACAGGCCCAACTGCCCAGGTGTGATCGTGTTGACGTGAACTGCTGTTGTAGGGGAGTGGCAAGAGGCAGTCGAGGGGGCCTGTACACAAAGCCCATAGCCTGTTTGTTCCCTGGCTAGGTTAGAGTTTTGGTGGGAGAAGCCACGTTGGTTTTGAAGGCCATTTATGAAATGGCAGGTTCTTTGCTACTAAATAATATGCTGATAGATGCAGTCTACTATTCCATGAGACTTAAAAGACAAATCCTGTATTTGGGGGGTTTAGGTTATGGCAGTGCACGGAACATTTTGTATTCCAATGGGTGTCATCTACTCACTTGAACCAAGTTTGTATTAATTTTAGAATTTCAAAACAGCTGTGCTGACTCTTACCTCAGTGAGCTGTGCAGTGAATGGGCATGCCTGTGTTGTGAACAAATAGCTCCCCCCCTAGTTATATGGCTTTTAAGTTTTGTGTCTGATGTATACAGAGTTGCTTTAAGACTCCATGGGCATTAATACAAAAAAATAAATATCTGCTTTGTGTTTCACTACAGAGGTTTTGCATTCATTGGACTTTTAAGGTACTCTGTCCTAAAAATTCAATGTCAAGGTGGAAATGTCATCTCTGTTTCATTATATGTCACTTGATAATTAGAGAATTATAAAACAGCAAGTTTGGTCCCACCACAGCTGTGCACAATGTAATGAAGGAATGTATAGTTTTGGATTGAATGTATTCAGAAAATATGGCCAAGGAGCCTTACCTTAGCTCTTAGACCTTACCCGTCTGCAGGCATTGACATTGAAATGCCGGTAACAGAGGTGTCCTTACCATCATGCGGTTTGCACTTTGGTGAAAGCGGGGCTGAACACTCAAACCTACATCCCAAAAATGTAAAGCTGCTATGGAAGACTTTCCCATGATGTTCTTTAAATGCTGCTGAGTATTTGGATTTAGGCGAGTTTGTAATGCAGTGATGCAGTAGTTGCCACAATGCATGGCATATGTGCAATTTCATTTACTTCCCAAGATTGGAGAGAAGTGAAAACACATGCCATGTTGGTATGCATTTCACTGAGTTTACTTAATGACTCAGAAAGGCAGAAATTCTTAAATTAGAGGTCAGGTTTTTTAATGGGAAGTGAAATGTCAGCAGTGCTGAAGAGAAAACTTAGGAGCCTCAGTGAGGTGAGTTGGAGAGAAGTTTCTCACTCACAGATAGACGCATCCATCCATTGCAAGGTACTGGCTGCTAGGCAGTTCAGGAGGAAAATGTTTCTGGATGCTCTCATACATCCTAAAACCTCAATAATAAGGGGTTAATTCCAGAAGAAAGCATGTAGCCCATGTTATATTCTCCAGTATTTATTACCAACTAGCATCAAACAGTGGCAAACTTGAAAGAATATATTATGTTGTATAACAGACCCCCAATGATCAGCAAGCAAAATATATTCACCCTCTGAGGCTGTGCTGACATTTTTAAAATTACAAGGGCAAAGCTCAGCTTCTGCTGTTTATAATTCCAGCAGTGAATTACTGCCTTGTAATGGGTTCTTGGCTATCTATTATTCTGCATCTACTGCTGGAGTTAAGGCAAAGCCTCATGATAATTTTATTGGAAAGTGGCCTGAGGCTGTTTTGAAGCTTTGCAAGCCACTATTATGCCCCAGTTCAGGAGATCGGGAGAAAGTTCATTGGCAAGAAGATGGATGGTGAACAGACTTCATTATTAACCATATAGTTATCACATATTAAAGACCTTTCTGCTCTTTTTGGAGGTCTTTAATTCAATGGAGAGGAAAAAAAAAAAAAAAACCAAACCCATTCAAATGCTTCTTTGAAGAGACAGTTGTTTTAAGGCTACATGGCACAGAAACATGAGCGAAGCATTAGGCTGGCAGGTAGGCCAAAAGGATGTTCACTTTGGCAAGATCAATTAATACATTTTCTGGCAATTTGTGTTTCTCTCTACCGATAGCAGACAGTTAACTGGAGGCTGTTGGAAGATTCTGATACTTTAAGATCCTGGTATCTTATTTGATTGCTATAGGTGGTAGGGGATGGGATTGATTGGAGAGGTTATTTATCTCTCACCTACTCACACCTTTCAACTCCCTGGCACTGGGAGAGACCAATAAGCACTTGTAATAGCATCGTTCTTCCTCATATTTCCTGAAAAATGGTTGCTCGCATACAGATATGAACTTATTCACCTCTCTTCTGACATGTCACTCTGTCTGAGAAAGGCTGCCTCCTTTAGACATCACATTTTACCCAGGGCTTTAGAGCTTCCATTAGGACACTTGTTTTTATCTTGTCAGTCACATGCTCTGGGGAAGGTGCTGGGCACATAAAGCTGACCAGGTGGCTGTTGGTCAAGTGTGTGCAGAGCTCCTACCTGAATTACTGGGAGATGCTGGCAAGCCTTGCATTGGGAAGAGCAGGAACAAAACTGGTTCCCTCACTGCTGTCCCTGCACGGGGTTCATAACTGACCAGTTTGTTGCTTAAATAGAATCTATGCTCTAAAATTTGAAAACTTTTGACCTTTGGGCTAAGTTAATGCTTTATCTTCCTAACACCACAGATTCCTTGGTCATTATACTTTTAAATGAACACTCCCTCCAGCAGCAACCTCAGATTCCTTCCCTACCAAACAAAAGTACCTTGCAGAACTGGGGAGGGAGGGAATGGCAGGGAGGCAGTTGATTGCATTGTGTTTTAATAGGAAAACACCACCACCACTAACATGTGTTTGTCTTAGGGATCGAAGATACCTTCCGGACAGCTGCCACCGAAGTGAGCTTACTTGCAGGAAGTGAAGACTTCAACGCTACCAAACTGTTTGAAGTTGGTAAGCAGCTTAGCCAATCTGTCAGTAATAGATAAGACTTCCTTATTTTCCTGGTTTGACTCTGTTGCAGGACCAAGATTTTGAGTTTACCATTAAAAATGTCAGTAATAATGGCCATTTATTATCTTGCTTAAGTTTATGATCTGAACCTTAGCTTGCTTCTGTCACAAAATCTTTCTCCTCCTAAGTCTTAGCAAATTTACGTGCTTCTTTCATTCTCTGCCCTAGTTCAGAAGAGAGTTGTAAGGCTCCACACTGATGGAGGGGAAAAAAATCAGCCACTGTTTAGCGTTTTTCTGAAATAGCCTCGAATGGAAGATATTATAAAAGCATTTTAGGTACAGCTATCACATTAAAATGGCAGTGACTTTTATGAGCATGCATAGCTTTTATAACTGTGTGTGCTGCAGTGGGGCTAGCAAAAGCAATTTTATAGGGCATGACTTGATACTTATTGATCTAAAACTCAGCCCTCAGATCTAAAACTTCTGTAATGTTCTGATTTCATCCCTGCAATAAAACCATAGTGTGGCCACTCTTAGACATCAGCTGCTGGACTAATCGGATAGATAATGTAAACCAGCACCTCCCTCCTATGGTGGCAGAGTGCCATAGTTAATGACAGCCAGGATAGGACTCTTTAAGAAGATAGAAAAACAGGACACAGATCGCTAAGTAAATATTTTTTGAGAATGTTTGCTGTAAGAGTTTTAGGTCCCAGTCTTTGCCTTACTCCACAGTCCTGTTAAGTAAGTGTGGAGCAAGACGTGCAGGGATTTTTTGAAAGCCCATAGCATGACACAGACACCTTAAATAATGCTTTAGGTAGGAGATGTTTAACTGAAACTCTTGAAAATAATAAAGTGTCAGTATTAAATATGCTACTAGTCTATAAATCTCTTTAATCCCAGCTATAAGTCATAGCTCTGGTGCCATTAAATCCTCCTAATGTACAGACACTCTGATATTATGTCACATATGCCCTTTTAGAATCTGAATCACTTTTGGCTGCATTTGCCAGCTAGGATGTCTATCCCTGTTTGAACTACAGCTGCTTGAAATACCCCTTTGGGAAGATGGAGACCAAATAGAAAAAAGTATTTGTTAGTTAAAAGAAAGACTGAATTAGGGCTTAATAATGAACTTCAGAAAAAGTAATCCAGGCTTTGCTCTCCATCTTGGTATTTCTAGTGTCATGAGAAAATCCTTCAACATCTGAATCTGCCACTCTTAACAAGGTATGTGGACTAGGGGTTTAAACTGGAGACTGGAATCACATCACTGTTATTCCTTAGTTTCAGTTCTGTCACTTGTAAGCCCATGATAGTGTCTCTTGTGCTGCGTGGGGATATCTGCAGATTAATTAGAATTCCATAGGTAGAAGAAACGTCAAAGATTCCTACAGGCATGGTGCTGCACTATACTTCAGACTAGCACTGCCTGAGGCCCCAAAGCCTGTCACAGTTGTGATTTCTTTATCTGACAAGACAGCATATTAACACCTTGCAGGCAGGGAGGCAAGCCTTGACCACCCTTTCTTTCTTAAGCAAAGCCCTGCTGCTGAAGTTACCCTTTACTTGCTTGTTATCACTGAGCATATGAACTGGGATGCTGCCTAATGTATCTTAAGTTTCCATTTCCTGTCTTTAAACAGATACTGATAGCTGTGAAAGATGGATGAGCTGCAAAAGCGAGTTCTTGAAGAAATATATGCACAAAGTGGTCAATGATCTTCCCAGCTGCCCATGCTCGTACCCGAGAGAAGTTGCATACAGCACTGCTGAAATCTATGATCGAATTAAGAGGAAAAACTTTCGCTGGAAAGATGCAAGTGGTCCAAAGGAAAAGCTAGAGATCTATAAGCCCACTGCACGATACTGCATCCGCTCCATGCTCTCTTTGGAAAGCACAACACTTGCAGCACAGCACTGCTGCTATGATGATAATATGCAACTGATTACCAGAGGGAAAGGGGCAGGTACACCAAACCTGATCAGCATTGAATTCTCAGCAGAACTCCATTATAAAGTGGACATTCTGCCTTGGATTATATGCAAAGGTGACTGGAGCCGATACAATGAAGCACGGCCTCCAAACAATGGGCAGAAGTGTACAGAAAACCCTTCAGACGAAGACTACTACAAGCAATTTCAAGAAGCGAGGGAATACTGAGAAGATTTTCCTCCTCTTCAGACACAAAATAGCATTCGTTTCCTGGATGCCAAAGAACTGATAATGGCTGCTGCATTGCCTCCTTGACAGGGGTTGATCAGTTTCTTACTAATGAATGTATATAGTTGTAATATAATACATAAGTATTTTTCATAGTGTGTGTAATTTATAAACACATATCTCTCTATCTCACACACACCTATTTTTACATGCAGACATACATAAAACTTGTCCTGGTAGGATTTTATACTGCAGTAATGTTCATGTAATAATGCTCATTTCATTTTATTCCCCAACTGTAACAAAAGTGTGAGGTTGCCAGGGCAGGGGGGGCAGCTGCCATCACCATCAGGCCCTAAGGCCCCAGCTGAGGAGGGCACATATTTAAAAGCTGTTATAAACAATAGGATTGAAGAATGTACCCTTACATATGGGAATGGTTTACAAGATTAACGCACCTACAGCATCAGTTTTCTCTATAACTGATTTCATGACTAGTCATACCTGAGAAAGGAAGAATTTTTTATTGTTTTTGGAAGGGTACTACTTAAAAGTGAATATAGTTACTAGCAATTTTTTTCTTGGAATTCTTCCCATTACCTTCTAGCTCAGCTCTTCACAGTCTTTCTGAGGGTAGGCTCCTATGGAGATATAGCTGTGGTTTTCCTACAGAGTAGAAAAAGTCCTAACACAGTGGTTCTCCGAGAGTTACAAACAGCCCACTCCTGGGGACATCTCAGATACGGAGCTACAGCTGTCAGGGTTTATGTCTTACGCTGGGGAGTGGATCTTCAGGGCAGCTACCTGTAAACTACGCATGCCATAAATTTGGAGGAGTGAGGCCAGAGAAGGAAACCATGCCAAAGGAAAAAAAAAAAAGTCACATTTACTTCCCAATTTTTAATACAAAGAGTGTTTAGATCTGCTTGTTTCTTTCTTTTAAGAAAAGATGTTTATTTTTTTGAAGAATGGGAAAAGTGGAATACACATTTCCAAGTTCCCTGTGATAAAGCATGCAACCAGCCCTTTTCCCCCGTTTATCATATGTTGAGTGCACAGTGTCCCACAGAAGAAGCTATTCTTTCAGGGAGCTGTCTGGGAGGAATTATATTGGTGAGTTAAAATGTCTTAATTTTTTTAAAAAAGCTAGCATTATTTTTGTAAAGTATTTATTGAATTGTAACAATAACTCACATGTCTCTAACATGAAAGGCTTCTGTAGATGGAACTCGATTGCCAAGAATTAAGACTGTCATTAGGCAAAGCTTTTACTTCCAAATTTTTAGAAAGTGCAAGTTTACATACATAATTGTGTAATTAAGCAGCTGATACCTGCTTATTCTTATGAAAGAGAAAAATGACACCATGGGTAAATAAATACTTACAGTTCCATCCTGTAAAAGGCTGTCTTGCCACAAGTCAATGTCTTCATTTGGAAAACTAAGGCTAAATGTGACTAGAGAAATGCCTATTTTTGGGTTATGTGGTCTGATTCACACGTGTGCGCTACACGTGGAACCTCATGCAGCGGTAAAGCTGATGTCGCGTTGCAGGCAGTCTGAACTGCAAGATTCAGGACAGGCATGAAAGACAGTTCCTTCTGCTTCATACACGCACACAAATGCATGGTCAGTCTTTGCTCTACCTCTGTTGGCCTTTCAGGTGCTGGTTGATTGCGCCTTCCCGGACAGACATGTGCACGGTACCCCCCCAGCATTAACATACGCACAATAACTCTGCCGAGTCTGGGAGGTGTTGGGCTTGTGTTGTTCTGCCCAGGTGGTGCAAATTAGGGGATTAAAGAGCAGCCTGGTTCTTGGACTCCTACTCTGAGCAAACATGTGATGCGTACGCTACGAAGGCTCTCCCCAGATCGGCCAGAGCCAGTCTGACAGGCTGCAGAGCCTCAACGCTGTACTTAACTTACATTCCAGTTTTCCAGAAAGGCAGCAGTCCAGCCAAAGCTACTGCACATATGAAACAGTGACTGATCTACTGAGGTAACTTCAGCAGCTGGAAATCTTGGCCAAGTCATCAGATCTTCCCAGATGCAGGTTTGAGTTGGAGGTGGGGGGAGACGTGGATATATTCTAGCACAAGCTGGTGGTAAGAAAACATGGTTAGTTGAGCAAGAAGGTAAACATGGGGATCAACCCTTAATTTTTATAGAAACCAGGTTTTGTAAATTCTTGCAAGGTCATAAGAAGGATCCACTAGCTGGTGGAGCCAGTTAAATTGACAGCAGATGGATGAAAGGCACAAGCAACTCCAGCATCAGTCACTTAATAGGGAAGACAGGTATTTTCTGCAACATGAGGGAGAAAGCTCTGCTTTTGACTTCACTTAGCAGTGTAGGGGGAACGGTCTCAGGTTTCTCTGGGAGGGCGATGAGAGGGCAGTCACAATTCTTGAAATATGAAACATAGCCCTGCAGTTTATGGATTAGTAAATTATGGTGCTATTGAGAAATGCTACTACACCATTAATGCTGAACATAACAAAGGTGTCAGGGAAGAGGAAAAAATTATTCTAATAAATGAAATGACACACAAAGGTTCAAGTGTTACCACTCAGAATCTGCCAAGGCTGGAAGTCTGAGGGAGCCTAATAACCACAGATAAGGACCTACCAGGTTTTTCATAGGATGAGTCCTGGAGCACAGCTCAAGAGAGCTCTATTCAGGGCTGGGCTGCTTTTTTTCTTTTCTATTTTCTTTATCTCCTTTCCAATGACTAAGATTGTACCTGGAATGATTTTGTGTAGTAGTCCTTAGCAAGATGCTGCAGTTCACCATGGCCAGATTTGGCTCAGTCTCTTAAATTAGAGATATCTCTTCATATTAGAGCGAGGCCTGAGGAAGGGTTTGTGGTCTTAGGTTCCTAGGCACAGGTCGGTAGTTAGAAGCAGCTGTTGTTAATGTTTCTAAGTTACCTCAGAATGGGCATATTGGAAGACTCAACCAAATACAGGAGGGGGATTGAAACAAGCAGAACTAAACAGGGCTCGTGGTCGCAACACTGAGAAATCCTCAGAGAGGCCCCCACTGGCAGCCATCTTGATTCCCAAAAGGGAACTTAAAATACAGACTTTAGAGCAGCCCCTGACAGCCTGATCTAGTGGTTGGTGACCCTCTCCACGGCAGGGGGGTTGGAACTGGATGATTTTTAAGGTCCTTTCCAACCCAAACCATTCTATGATGCTATGTTTCTCTCTGTATCTGAGCAGTTCCATTTATTTCTCATCAGCAAAGCCAGACGAGGGTGTTTTCACCTGCTGGCCTCTTGTTCCTCTGCACCACCTTTCTCTTGGGCAAGCACAGCTGTTTGTGCAGCAAAAGGAATCAGTCAAGTCATCCAAGTTATTTTTAATGGTGATCAATCAACAGATACAGACTACCGCATGGCTTTAGAGTCGAGTTGGTGAGAACGCATTAAGCTGACACTGCTGCTGAGAAAGATGTGTGGAGCAGCGCCCCAAGGCAGCCATAAATGACTTGAGTGTGTACCTTTGATGGTTAAAAGGATGAGTGGGCCTGGCTTCCCATCACCCAGACAGCTGCTGAGCAGCAAAATTCCACTAAGAACCCACAGTGATGCATATGGGTTATAGGACAATATAGCAAAAAACAAAAACATACACACATTCACGAATCCCCACAGTCCTGCATTAGTTACCAGCTGCATGTTGTCCCCCCGCTGTGCAGAATGGTTAACACTGTCAACACAACACATGCTTCCAAAAAATTGCACGTGAGTTCATAGGACTGCCTTTGCCTTATATAGCGTTGCATGGAGAATGTAGGGTTGGTTGCAATGAATGACTGATCCCTGACACTTCAGTTGAGTGGGGTCAGGCAAGTCGAAGGTGGGAGAAGAGGAAAAGTAACCTTTCTCATTTGTGGCCAGGAAGGCCAACAGTCTCCTGGGGGTGCATTAAAAAGAGCATGGACAGCAGGCCAAGGGAGGTTCTCTTCGTTGGGGCCGGGCTCTTTTCAGTGGTGCCCAGTGACAGGACAAGGGGCAATGGGCACAAACTGGAACACCAGAAGTTCCAGACAAACTTAAGGAAAAACTTCTTTACTGTGAAGGTGTCTGAGCACTGGGAGGTTGTGGAGTCTCCATTTCTGGAGATGTTCATAACTTGCTTGGACATTTTCCTGTGCAGCCTGTTGTAGAGAACCTGCTTTGGCGGGGAGTTGGACTAGATGATCTCCTGAGGTCCCTTCCAACCCCCACCATTCTGTGACTCTGTGAAGAACCTGCTGCTTCAGGGCAGGGGATGGCAGCATGTACGTGAGCCATTCAGCGAGAGGGTGCCACTGCCAAAAGTCCGAATTGCCACAGCCTCTCCCCGCAGTGGTCTCCCTGGTCAGCAGCAGGAAGGTGGTGAGGGAGCACCTCCACCTCATGGTCACGGCCTGGGGAGGAAGAGAAATGCTACTCCTTCCTGAGGGAAGGACAGAGAATTTCCTCCTTCCTGAGGCTGAGGAATGGCTGGTGCGCCCCCAGGCCTCCCCTTGCTCCCTTTCCTGCTTTCTGTGTCAAGATGCCCTGGTGCTGCACAGCAGCCAGCGTGGCTCGGTGCAGTGGGTGCCTGCTGGGCAGCACTGCCTTGGCTTATGCTCAGCAGCAGGGTCACGCATTCACCCATCCCTGGAGGAAATTACTCGCGTTCAGGCTGGACAGACGACAGAGAAACCTGGCGAGTGCGATTCCTAACAGGGTCAAGAAGGTGGCAGGGCAGGGACCCTGTTTCTAAGCCACCTAAAGTTACTCTGCAGGCTCCATGCAGTCCCCACACGATCATCTGGCACCATGCGAGGGGCCATAGCATGGCAAGGTTCCCCCTTTTCCATCCAGAAGAGGAAGCCTGCAAAGACAGGTTGGATGAGGCTTTGAGCAACCTGGTCTAGTGGAAGGTGTCCCTGCTGATGGCAGGAGGGGTTGGAACTGGATGATCTTTAAGGTCCCTTCCAACCCAAACCATTCTATGATTCTATAAACCAGCTATGGAGAAGCCGGGCTGTCTGTACGCTCACTGCATGGACCTGCGCGGGCACAAGCACAGCCATGTCCCCCTCCCTGTACACACGGAGCCCGGAGCGCTGAGGAGGGAGGGCCTGAGTGGGAAGAAGACCCACAGTTAGCACCG